GGCGCGCCGGAAGATGAGGGGCCGGCGGCGGGCGCCGGCAAGGGGCGCGGCGGGAAGCTGTCGGAGGGGGGGGCGGGCGGCGGGGGCAAGGCGCCGGACGACAAGAGGTGGGCAAGGGTGGCAGCACGTTTCAGCACGTGGCAATACAGAACTGGCTTGTCGCCCTGCTTGCGTTTTGGCCCGTTGGCAGGGACTGGTGCGGTGTGCTCGTCTTTCCTCGCTGCAACAGTCACATCATGTGGTAAACCCCACCTGATTGATCCTGGTCATGTTTTGCGGTCGCTCGGACCCAACCGATTTCAGGTTGCGCATCGCCCAGTGGGCGGAAGCCGATGCACGGACGGAGCTGGGGCCGCCCTCGGAGACGTCCTTTGGCGGCAACAGCAGCCGCGGCCCCAGCGGCCCCGGCGCGCCGCAGGGCCCGGCGGGCGCGAGCTGGGCTGGCGGCGGCCTGCTGGACATAGAGAGCGAGGCGTCACAGTCGGAGGCTGGGCAGGGTGACGGTGGCGGGGACGGTGGCGGCGATGATGATCTTGCAACAGATGCGAGGTGTGGGGTTGGAGGTTGGGCTGCGTTGTTGTGAGGGTCATGCACATTTGAGGTTGCATGTGTGTGGGGTGGCTAGCACGATGTGTTGTGCGGAGCATCATGAAAGCGCGCTGCTTGCCCGCAGCTACTGCTGCTGCTGCTGCTGCTGCTGCTGCTGCTGCTGCTGCTGCTGCTGCTGGTAGTGCAACTGCTGTGACTTCTGCTCGAGTCAGGCCAGGTCAAAATGAGCGCCTCACAGGCAAAACCGTCTGTGACCCACTCTCTTGTGAGGCAGTTCGCCCGCCCCTATACCTCCACATGCATGCTGAGCTGTGCATGGCAATGCGGTCATCATACAACCTAAGCGCCATTTTGCCGCACCTTAACGTCACGTAACCCCCGAAAACAACAGGCGCTCCAAGATCCTGCGGAAGCTGCGCAGACTGCTGACCGGCACCACCGCCCAGAGCGCCTCCATCCGCTTCCGCACGCACACCTGGGCGGTCATTCTACTGGCGCTGACTGTGCACGTGGTCGGCTTTGCCGTCATCAGTACACAGATCCAGAGCAGATACGCGTGAGAGGGGCTCCAGGCGTTGTCAAGGGACGAAGGGCATGCAGGAGCTTGGCATGTGTGTGTGCGTGTGTGTGTGTGTGTGCACGCGCGCGCGCACGCACGCACTTGTGCGTGCGTGCGTGCATGTGCGCGTGTGCGCACACGCCAACACGCACGTGCATGATGCCTGTGCGCACGCATGACTTGCCCTTGCTTATGTGGCACGATTCGTTCAGGCTGCTTCAGCCCAACACATTAATTCAAAGGACGATTCGTAGATGCCAATCCCAATGCAAGGCAACTCACTCCTCCGGCGCCTCCACCCTTTGGTGTGAACCAGGTCGGCTCACATAGCGGCCAACATGGCGCGGGCGGCAGAGAGGTTCCAGCTGACCGCAATGAGGGCAAACTGTGAGGCACGATCAGGGAAATCGGGGAGCTTGGGCTTGGGAGGTGCCATCGAGTCATCTGGTGCCCCCCCTTTTGTCAGGTCAACTGTGTTGCGTGTGCTTGGATGTCTCCCCTTCAGGTGTGCAACCGCAACCCCCCTTCCTTCCCTCCCTGGATTTCTGCTGCTCACCGCGCCCCAGTCCTTCAACGGTGCCAGATGGCCGATTACACCAACCTGCTGGTGCGCACAGCCTTGACCAGCAAGAATTGAGGTTTTGGATTGTGACGACGCGCGAGGCAGCGACAGGGCATGTCGAGGCTTGGAGTCCTCCGACTAGACCCTGCGCTGCATTTGTTTTTGGGCTGGCTGCTGGCTTGCGTCGTCGTCGCTGTCGTCGCCGTTTTACAAGCAGCCATCCGGCTGCCAGCAACGCAGGACGCAATTTGACCGGACCCCCCTCCATCCTGCTCTCGTCCACTGCCCGCTTTAAGCCATCCCCCGCGGCCGGCAACGCCCTGTCCTGCCCCCTGGCGCCTCCCCCCATGTAACCCCTGTAGGCCTGCGACGACCTGCCAGGTCAGCGCCAGAAGATGCTGGAAAACATGCTGCTCTCAAAGGACTGGCACCACGTGAGCGGGATGTCACATCTGAGGAACAGGCCGTGACGATGCCCTCGCAAATGCCGGCGCCTCGAGCGCTGGCTGGTTTGGGCCCCATTGCATTTGGGCTCCATTGCATTTTCCATACCCAGGGGCGTCGGCCCCTTGCGGCCGTCCCGGGCGGCACACATGGCTGCAGCTGGCGATCAGCTGTGCTTGAAGGTCCTGTGTGTTTGGATCTTCTGAACCAGACCAGAGGCCGATGCATGCAGCTCTGAGAGGCAGCAGGGTAAACCTGAGGCCTATTGGAGCTGAGCCACCCGAGAGTCTCGGTTTGCCCGCTGCCCTTCGTCCAATGCCGCGTCGCCTGACGATGGCCCCATCGACCCCCATCCACCCTGTTCCCCCCACAACACCCAGAATCTGTACCTGGGGGAGCCGGGCCACCTGAAGAAATTTGCGGACCCTCGCATCAACGTGAGCCGGTGCCTCCCATAGCAGTCTTAACACCCTGAGCCCTAAACGCCCCCCGCGGCAACCCCCCGCCGCTGGATGCAACAGTCGGCCGCAGCCGCCGCCCTGGCTCTTGCCCCGAGGCGCTGGCAAATGGGCGCCTCGCGCCATTTATTGCCGGCGGCCGCGGCCACACCGACACAGCGCCACGGTCCCATCTGCAGCCTGCACCTGGAACCAAATCGGCCGTGCGTCTCCCGTGTTGGCCCACTCTCGTGGCTTTTTAACCGTCGTGCCACCCTTTCCTCCGAATGACATCATGATGACATCACTCTTTGCCGCCCCCAGGAGTACTGGACGTACGAGAAGCTGCCGGAGATCAGCTACGTGAATGCCCTCGAGGCCAGCGAGGAGGGGGTGATCTACCACCACCACGAGACGCTCTGGGTGCTGGCCAACAAGTGAGAGGGCGGTTGCAGTATTGGCGACGTGCCAAGCAAGGCGGGTGCGGGGTCGATGGAGCGTTTGGGCCGAGGAGGGGTTGGCGACCAACAGGATGCGGCTCGGGTAGTCGTGGCAGGGGGGGGGGGCGGCTTCGACCGAGCCGGCTGGGGTCGGGAAAGTCGGAGCGCCGGCGCCGCTGCATGCCGGCGCGCCCCGCCGCCAACGGGCGCTGCTGGCGCCGCAGGCAGGCGGCCGCCGCGCGGGCTGCCTCCACACGTCGAGGCCTGCGCCGAGCCGTCCGCCGCACAAGGCGTTTGCCTGCTGCTGTCGGCGCGCGACCGCAGACCCTCTGCCTTCCCCCTCCTAACGCCCCTGGCAGCTTCTGCGCGGACACATACGAGGTTGCGTTCTACGCGGACACGTACAAGGATCAGCTGGGGCTGCTGCCGGCCTACCAGTACGTCAACTACAATGGGGACGGCTCCATCTTTCAGGGGTACGCCTGGAGGTGAGCACGCGCGCTGGCAGGTGGGGAGGATAGGTTTTTGGAGGATGGCGTGGTGTTTCTGCTACCAACTGCGAGTGGCCCGCCTGGCCAGCATGTCTGCCGCTCTGACTGGTTGAATTTTGAACATGCCGTATGGTTCAAGACTGTTTGTGTTCGCTTGTGTGCGTGCGTGCGTGCGCCACCGCGAGCGCGCGTGGGTGTATGCAGACGCGCACATCCAGTCGCAGAGCGTTCGTGTCCGCGTCTGCTGCTGACTCAGCTTCCCCGTGTCAATACACCCCCTCTTAATGCATTTCTGACCCCCCAAAACTCAACCCCAAACCCTCCCCCCTACAAGCCTGGACACCATGATCGATTACGCGTGGAAGCAGCTGGGCAAGCTGGAGGGCCTCATCATCGTCCTCCTGGTGGTGGAGGTGAGGGGGGCAGGGCCAGGCGCAGTTGGTTTGCTTGTCTTGTTTGAAGGAAAACAGCAAAGGGGAGCTGGAAGGGGTGCGATGAGTTGACGTTTGTTTGAAGAATGACAGCGAAGGGGAGCTGGAAGGGGTGCGATGAGTTGAGATTTGAAACCCCTCGTGCATCAGTCTGCAAGGGGTTTGACACAGAAATGACGGGGGAGGCAGTTGATGGTCAGTGTGCACCCACGGTCATTGCGTGGCAGACGGACGAGCCGACAGAAACGATCCGCCTGTATGCGTGTGCAGCTGCAGGGAATCTTGTCAGGAGTGTAGGGCGCAGGGGCGGATGAATGATCGACACAGAGACCCTTCGTTTCAGACACGTCCCTGCTGGAGCGGCAGTCACAGCTGCGTTGTCGTGTAATCTTCCACGCATCGTCCCTCGCCCCTCCCCCCTTGTCGGACCCCCTTCCCCCCCTCAGGCCATCCTGATCCAGGGCGCCGCCATGGCGTACCAGTTCATCATCACCAAGGCGGCGGACGCGCAGCACATGACGCGCTACAGCGTGTTCCTGGCCCTGCCGTCCGCCACAGTGCGCGCCATGGC